ACTCATTCTTTCTTTCCCGTATCCTCTACCAGAAGAGGTTGCCTGGTGCCCAGGGTGAGAACTGCATTTCTTTGTGGCTAAAAAAAAAAATCACAATGGAAAGTTCACAGATGAGAAGATGCTCAATTTCATCAGCCCATAAAGGCAAGCTAGTCCAACAGAAATCCAGTGATAGCCCCACAGGGAAATATGAAATAAGATGACCTGGAAGGCTTGGGCATTTTCTTTATGCCTTTGGAGAAGTGTCTGGACTCCTGCTGATGGTTCATTCAAAGTCAGGCTGTCTACCTACTACCTCTTTTCTCTTCTACCATCTCCCAGGGAGTTGAAAACAGGACTGCTTGAGGATACGCTTGTTCAGTGGTCATGGTTTTCAGCATGAACCAGGCAGGATTGTGATTTTAATTTGGCACTGCCCACCAGACCACAAGGCAAGTCCAAAACTTTCCTTATGAATATTTAGCCATAGCTACATTTCAAAGTCATGTTATAAAAATGTCATTTGAGAAAGTTACTGTTCTAAAATTTGTAAAGTGTTTTAATGCTATGTTGTAACAGCAAAAACATCCTTTTAAAAGAGCTCACATTTCAGGCTGACATACACCAAAACACTTTTTGTTTTAGCTTGCTCAGCTTTTCAAAACCAGTCAGCATCTGGGCTCTATTAACCGTAATGTGCTTGCCTTTTAAGCAAAAACAATTTAAGAATATTTCCTTTTCAAACCCCTTTAAAACCCCTTCAGCATTTTGCAATATGCATAATATTTAACAATTCTGCATTGCACTGCAGCCTTTGAAGTTTAAAAATTAGTTCCCGGTAAAGCATTGCACGATTTCTTGCACTCTTTTAGTCACAGGGATTAGTGACTAGAATTTATGCCTATGGTCAAGAAAGGTAAGTCACTGTGTCACAATAATTAGCAAGCTTTTCTACAACAATTTTCAACCTTTATGTGATGCACACAGTGTAACACACTATCTCTGTGTAGGAAAGCTCATTTGCCACTCACAATAGCCACTCTTGGGCTAAAGTACTGTACCATATGGCAAGCAAAGAGCCTCATCCCTCTTCAGTTCAAACTTTGTAAAGAAGAGTCATATTTATATTTCTTATTTATATTTCATATTTATAGTCATACTCATATTATATTTGTGTTTATATCTTTATTTTTATATTGATATAAAAATTAGTCTTCAGTTCACCAAAGACACTAAGCACCTCAAGAATATGGCTATGGATCATTAACCATGATACTCTTCATGGGTGTTGTTTTTATGAGCTGTTAGTCAAATTCTCACAATACACTAGAAAAGCAAGCTGAGTTCCTCAGGTCAGAAAAGATTGCCCTCCAATGGTTACTCTTTAGGTTTAATGTCTGTGATATTTTATGAAGTACTCCTCTTTTAAGCGATTTGTAAAGTAAGGCCACACAAATGGAAGATGTTGGAACAATTAATTATTTCAAGGAACACCCAAATCTTTTTTATCCTCTTAATTGATTTATAGGTAGTTATTAAAAATAAAGATGGAGGCATATTCTTGGTAACATTTTCATTTAACTACCATTACCCTTTGGTTTGGAGTAACTACCATTACTCCAAGGTTTATCAGAGAAAAAGCAATGCCCCCGACAATTCAGAACTATTACTCATACTCTATTTGACAAATTTTATATTTCACTATGAGAAACATGTTTTAAGGTCTGAAAAAGTAGCAAGAAGGACATAGTCTCCGGTTTATTTAAGAATTATAAAAGTTGTTGTGAATGCCCTAGAGCTCAATACCACTCTTTCATGAGTAAACTTCAAGGACAAAATTCTTACCTTTAAAAAAAAAAATCTTTAAATCATCTAATCCCAATGTAGGTAATAGTTTTAATTACTCTTTGCTCACTTTGGAACTAATGAAATCAAGAATATTAACAGTCTGTCATTTTTTACCAGGCCTTGCCATAACTTAGTTAGTGAATTTCTGGTTTACTAAAAACATGGTGATCTTTGCACAAAAGCTGTAGGTCTGTTCTTTGAATAATTTCCTTACAGTGTAGACTTCGATAAAGACTCTTCCAGTGCAGCTGGCAACTAAATGTAGGTTAAGTGAAAAAGGAAAACTCAGACAAACCCAGACCCAGTTCTCAAATATATTTATTAAAATAGTAGTGCCTGCTATAAAGATATTATTGAAAGATCATAATATTCCATTTTGGAATAATTAGATTATATTTTCTCCTCTCAAGAAAAAAATAGCGATTAGAGTGAGGTTATCCAATCCATTCCTCATCCTTCCTTTTTCTACCCCCTCCCCAGTCAAGCCCACAAAGACTATATTTGGTCACATGGATCTTCGAGTAAAAGACAGGGAATTGTCTGAATAGCCCTGACTCATAAAGCTCCTTCCAATGCCTTTTTCAGTGTCAGAGCTTTGTACTTAATGCAACTTCTACTAATTTTTTTCCTTATTACAATTGTGAAAAGTCTAATACCTTTACAACAATCTGAAAAGAGCTTACACAGAACAAAACACCCATTTATTCTTGGCATATTAAGAAATCTTTTCTTTGAACAATACATTTAAAATGCTATTTTCCCCAAATGCTTTTTTTTCTTTTAAGATAAGCAAAGCTCTAAGTGTTGAAAGAAACTATGATTTAGAGTCCCTACTAAACTGTCTTTATCTCAACCCATGGTTTTTCTCACTTTTACTCTTGCAATTCTCTCTCCAGTCCCACAAGTGGAGCAGTGAGGGAATGGCTGAGCCGAGCTGAGTTGTCAGTTTTGGCTCTGTTAAACTTGCTGGAGTGTAATAGGGCAGAAGATACTTTGTAAATATTTCTGTTTTCTTGCATTTTCCCTGAAAAGAGCTGGTTTTTAACTCTCTTAATTGCTCGTCTTTGGATCCAGCAGCGCCAGCAGCTGAACCAGACACATGTCATCAAATGCTGACTGTGGATCTTTTCCTTGCCGTGGGGAGGGCCTGAAACACCAGCTTGTCCCTGTCTGCGTTGGCAGGACAGGACTCCTTGTTGGTGTTTCTCTCACCAATAAGGAGGGGGGGGAGGGCTAAAGAAGAGAAAAGAAGATAAAAAAAGAAATGGGAAGAAACGTTAAAGCAAGAAGACAGCCAAGTTATACCTGCACTTCCAAAAAAAAAAAAAAATCCATCTATATTATCTAAAAAGCATGACCCGTCTTTTTAGATGTGGCAGTCAGTGCAATTATCAGGGAATGTATGACTTCAGTCTGGATTGTTACTAGATACAGCACTAAATGGTGATGCAATTAGGACAGCTAGAGCTACTTATTTCAGGATGTGCTATTTCAGCACCCCTGTGCTTTGCAGGGCCCTTTGCAAAGAGGAAAGAATGGTCTTTAAATACTCTGGCTACTGCTTCATTTTCAAGTGGGATTCAAAACACAGGTTTAGCTGATATATTAAAGATGGTTTGAAGCTGTTCCTTCTGACAGATGGTCTTTTTCCCAACAGCCCTCTGGAGAGGGGGCACTGGCAAGGCAGTTTGTCTCTAGCCTCACTCTGCCTGCTGATCCATCAGATCTTCATCTGGACACATCACACACAGCTGGCATCAAAATGCTGAGATTCTTTAACTCTGTTGAACAAACAGTCTGGCAGGTTTCTGCATTCATTGCACCAGTTTTGCAGAACAATTAATTGCCAAGCATGTACTAAAGGACGTTGGAATGGGCTGCCCAGGGAAGTGGTGGATTCTCCGTCCCTGGAGGTTTTTAAGAAGAGACTGGATGTGGCACTCAGTGCCATGGTCTAGCAACCGCAGTGGTAGTGGATCAAGGGTTGGACTTGATGATCTCAGAGGTCCCTTCCAACCCAGCTGATTCTATGATTCTATGATTGTTTTTCATAGTTTCCTTAATTTAAAAGAAAAAAAAGTTCCTTTGCTGCTGAATAACCTCATCAGTAACGCCATCTGACCACCATTTCCAGGTGTTTTCAGCTGTGCCCATTGCATGGCCATTGCAGGGGCAACCTCTGGGCCTCCTGGGCATGGGGACTTCCTCAGGGCCAGCACCCCAAAGGCTGCCTTCTGAGCAGCAGCCCTTGCTTTAGAACAGCAGCAGGCCTTCCTTTACATGAGGAATGAAGATGAGTCTGGAGCACAAGGTCCTGTGAGGGAGCTGAGGGAGCTGGGAGTGCTCAGCCTGGAGAAAAGGAGTTCCAGGCGGGACCTTCTTGCTCTTTACAACTACCTGAAAGGCAGCTGTAGACAGTTGGATGTTGGTCTCTTCTCCCAGGTAACAAGCAATAGGACAAAAGGAAATGTCTTTGAGTAGTGCCAGGGAGAAGTTTAAATTGGACATTAACAAAAATTTCTTCACAGAAAGGGTTGCCAAGAATTGAAACAGGCTGCCCATGAAAGTGGTTAAGTCAACATACCTGGAGGTATTTAAAAAACCTGTGGATGTGGTGCTTAGGGACATGGTTTAGAGGTGAACATGGGAGTGTTAGATTGAAGGTTAGGCTTGATGAACTTAAAGGTCTTTTCCAACCTAAATGATTCTAGGATTCCTAATGTGTGCATATCTCTAGACATCTGTTATTCATAGAAAACCAGGAATATTAAATATCATAGTTAGCTTTTTCCAGCAGTTTTGTTCGCACTTGTAGAGTTAGTTCCTGACTTTCTAATCAACAACCACAGAGCTCTGTTAAGCAAAGAGGCTACTGTGGCTGTAGGATTTGGTCAAGAAGATAAGAGAGGGAGAGAAAAAACCACAAAAACAAATCCCAGACATACAAATGTACCACAACAGGTTGTCAAAAATACTCAACCACAGTGTGCAGACTGGACAGGTTGACCCCTTAAAAGCATTCTTGGTCTCTAGAAGTAGTAACACACACAATGTTCAGGGGAAAATGTTTTTTCTGTGTTTCAACCAGACCTGGGTAGAGTAACTGTAAATGGCATATATCAATGGCAGGTGAGATGTGGCTAAGCACTTCTTTCCCTTTCTCCTCTTGGCAGAGAAAATGCAAGAATTCACACAGCAAGCAGAGAATAGGGAGAAGGGCTGAGGCACTTTTAAGCTACTTTTGTAATTTTGAGCTTTTCCAGAATTGGAGGTGGACCTTGTATAAATCAAGAGTGGTGGAGATAACTGTATTACAGGTCAGTTCCTTTTTATTGACATTAAAGAGGAAAATAAAGGTCATCTTATACAAAAGGAATAGGGAAAATATTATTTTCATATTACCAATTTGTGAAATTGTGCATTTAATCTATATTCAGACTATTTCCAGTATGAAATTTGAAATGAAAATATACATGCTTGATCTTCCTCCTGCATATAACTCTTTTATCAACTCATTGAAAAGTTTAATAGGTCTCTTTACTTGCAGATAAATGAAAGTAGATGTAAAGGGGAAACAGCAATGAAGCTCAACTCCTTGTAATGGAAGTGCCATCTAGATAAAATACCATGGCCAAGCCTTCCAAGTTTTCAGAAGCACATAAAAAGGGAAACTTTAAATGTTTGTTCTGATTGTTACAACATCATACAACTCCTACGCAACATGGATGAGATAGTCTAAACCAATCTGGCAATACCCCTTTAATATTGAAAAATTCTGCATTAATTATGCAATTAATTCTGCAATTAAGTATGCATGAATTCTGCCATAATGCTACTTGCTTAAAGGGAAGATGCCCAGATGACTTTATGCCTTAAAGATATCTGAGGACATATCCTTAAGGAAAGAACTCCACTAAGTACAACAGAGGAAATCAGCTGACACCAGTCACTGCAAGTGATCTTTTACCCTTTTCCATATATTTGCTGCATTGTATAACTGAGTTGCTTATTTATCACTGAAGAGAACCACAGACAAAATGTATACTATTTTTAACCACTTGCTGCCTATTTATGCTTGCTATCTTTGCCAGGTTTTTGCCAACAAAGAGAGCAGTCTGTCTTTCTACACAAGCTGAAAGAACAGTTGAAAGACTACATTTATAACCCTCCAGATTTAAAAACAGTTAACCCCAGAGTTCCACAGTATCTTTTATCCGAAACTTTTAAATAATATTCTGTAAGCCACTGATTTATGAATTAACTGATCTGTATCACATGAAGGATTGGAGATGTTTAAAAATAAACCTGTCCTCTGCTGGAATGGAATAATCTCTATTTCTCCTCATTAGAATATTGCTGCAAATGTTTCCTCCTATAGATAGCACAGCAACAGCTCAACAGTGGATGGTAGCAGTAGGACAGTTCAAGGCAAAAGCAGCACAACTTCTAGCTAGAGCTGCATGAAAAATTTAGGTGGGCAGAAAGTAACTATCAAATTGGAAATTCTTCAAGACAAGGGAATTATACTTAATCTCCATGAAGATTAACAAGGAATCTTTCCTGTGCTCACACACCTGAGACTTCAGGCAATACTAAGATCACCATCCACAGCTTGCCATGCTTCGGTGGAGCAAAGGGCACACTAGTATCTGACAGGGCAAGAGGAAATAGCCTCAAGTTGCACCAGGGCAGGTTTAGATTGGATATTCAAAAAAATTTCTTCACTGAAAGGGTTATCAAGCACTGGAACAGAATGCCCATGGAAGTGGTGGAATCACTGGCCCTGGAAGTGTTCAAAACATGTGCAGATATGGCACTTGGAGACATGATTTAGCAGTGGAACCAGCAGTGTTAGGTTAACAGCTGGACTTGGTGATCTTAGAGGTGTTTTCCAACCTTAATGATTCTCTGATTCTGATTCACAGTCAACTCTTTTTCTCACAATGGATGCCCCATGGAGAAAATTTCTCTTTCAAAAAGATACCCAGTCTATCACTTCTGAGAGATCCTTCAGACTTGCATCATTATGACTGTAGGCCAGAGCAGAAGTGAACATGGAAAACAAAATCACTCTCTTCCAATGCTGACAGATAGTTTATGCTGAATCAAAGAACTGATGTAACTTTTAACCTCTATTGAATCTTTGATAAAAATAAAATAACATTAATAGTAATTATGAAAAATTGGCTCTGGAGTAGTGTTCCATGTACAGCTGCTCATCAGAAAAAGGAGCCAGATGAATGTCACTGTATGTTAGGAACATGATTCCTAGTAAACAAAAGGCAATATAAAGTAAAGAGGCAAGTGTTCAAGAAGTGTTTGGACAATGCTCTTAAACACATATTTTATTGTTAAGCTTGCCCTGTGTGGAGTAAACATTCGGAATCAATGATCCTTGTGAGTCCCTTTCAGTTCAGGATACTCTGTGATTCTACAGTCCCAGGAATGTGAGAAACACCAGTTCACAAGCAGCAACTGTCATACACATCTGATGTCTTCAAATTTAGTTTAATTCATATATGAGTTATTGAAATGTGAAATGTTAAAACAGTTAGCAAAAAATCTAACACCAAACAACTTAGAGAACCAACCAGAATGCTTCATAAAGTCCTAATAATTTTATGACCCTATAAAAATATTTGAATTATTTGGATTCCTTCAAATGAAGTGTAATGCTATTAAATACCTTCTCAATACCCTCTAGTGGAATTCTAGCACCTTCTTTGCCTATAGCTAATCTAACAGATTTAACATCAGTGTGAGTGACTTGCACTGAAGATTGAACAAGTGACACAATTTATGATTTTCATCCATTGCCCAATATAAAATACATGCTAATGTGATAATGAAACTACTCAGTAAACCAAAAATCATTGTACACTGATGTGCTATCAATGAGGCAAATAACATTGATGCTCCTTTTACTGAAAAATACTCGTGTCCTTTTCTAAGAACAGTTTGACAGATTTTGTTTTAGAAGTTCTTTGGACCAGAGACTATGTGAGTACACACATGATGTCATTTCATTTTGGAAATGAACTTTGCTCAGGTAGAATTCTGAATCTAAAAATAACTGTCAAATAACAGCTCAGTAGCAGCATGGATGTACAAAGGCAAGAAGCCTAAATCATTTAAGACCTCACATGCTGCAACAGGTAACTCACATAGTGGGCTAGAGGGCAGCAGAATATTACATCTCTATCACATGCAGTGGAAATGCTTATATTATGAAAATTTTTACTTTTACTGGAAAAAGTAATATGGAGACAAATAGGAATGGGTTTTCATTGCTATCCTTATGATGATGATGATGATTACCAAACTTAAAAAAAAAACCAACTCTTCAATGTTCATTTGCCTTCCTACACTTAGATACAGCAAAAACAAAAAAAGAAAATTCAAAGAAACACTGTCAGTACTAATTCTCTCCTTCAGAGTGTAGCTATGACTTGGGAAAGTTAAATTTCCCTGTGCTTTTGGCCTTTTGACGTTAAACTAGCTCTAAAGAGAGAGAAACTACATTTTTAAAAGGAATTTAACTGATGTCAGGTTTTGCCCTCAGAATCACAGGGACAGAAACCTCCACTTATTCACATAAGATTCTTTTCAGTGTCCAAACTATGCTCTAACAGTGGTCAGAAAAATCAAGGCAATTCTGCATCTGCAAAAATCTCAGTCTGTGTATAAAGATTGTCAGGAAGTCAATGAATGCCAGTTTAAGCAAGTATTTTCACATGCATATCTGAGATAGACTAGATTAAGATGTTGATTTATTTCAGGGAGAAGGTCACTTGTCCTATGGCAGCTATTTTTTTGGTGATTGTTACAGCTGTTTGATTAGAGTTACTTAACAGTTCATATCTAGCTGAATTGGTGGCACTAAAAAGCTAGATTTGGAAGTTTTAAACATTTAACTTTTTTATTATTACTTTTTAAAAACAAATAGTGTTTTTTCTGAAACTGAAATTTACCATGCATTGATAAGCTGATTAATGTCTCATTATCATGTGAAGAGAAATCATTAATGTCTCATTATCATGTGAAGAGAAATCAATCTATTTACATTATATTTGAGAGCTACAGACCCCCACAAATAGCATACATCTCTTTTGTATGGTGACTTGCAGTTGTGCAAGGTCATGGAGCACAACTGCTGTATCTGCCCACTTTAATTCCATCTGGTTTGCTGCCCAGGATAACTTTCTTCTGTGTTCCCAGTGCCTGATGATTTAGAAAGTCAGGAGATGCTCCAGACATGAGGAAGTGAGCTGCACTGTCACTTGTGCTTGTAGCACAGAGACACTTTTCAGACTGCTGTTTTTGCTACTGTTGATGCTCCTGAAATCACTGTCATTACCAGTTGATGGGGCATTCATTGCAGATGGCTGCTGTCAGCAGTGATACCCATTTTTGGTGGCTGCAAAAACATCATGGTACTTGAATTACCCTCAAGCTCACCCTTCAGATGGAGTCTCCAACATATTTCTGGAAAAGTTTACACACTCTCTGCTAGGCGTGACATGTGGATAGACATTCAGGCCTATCACTTTTCAAACTCTACCATCCTTTATAATGTTCACTTGAATGGGGTGTGCCCTTGCTTTATGCATTTGTCAGTGTAGGATAGCCACATGTTTAGTAGCGAGAAGCATAGTATGAACTGTTCTCACAGGTTTAAAACTATATCTCACAAACAAATTTTTTGTACTTTCTACACCAGAATGCTCTGTAATGACAACATATAATATGTGCCAGATCTGGAGTCTTTCCAGAAGTACTGCCTGAGTTATCACATGGTGGAAAAACATTTGAGCTCCTTGTTTCATGCCCTAAAACAAAACAAGGACAACATTGTCACAGTTAAATAACAGAAGCAGCCAGGAAAATGATCTTCAGATTCTTTCATAAATTTTACCTCTGGGCTGATAAGTTCTGTAATCCTGTAAAGCAATTGTTTTGAACAGTTAATGAGCCAAAAAGTGGGAGGACTTGACTTAATAGTCATAAATATGTGCTGGAAAACCTCTCACTCACACTGATGGGAGCTACACGGACAAAGACAGGGAATGCACAACTACTTAACTAAAGGAATTATCTCATTCACACACTAACTTGGATCTTTACTTAGAATATCAAAAAACTTACTTGGAGGATCCAAATCTTCACACAGAAGGATTTCAGTAGAAACTTGGGTTTAGGGGTAGGGAAAAAAGGCTCTTTCATAAAAGCTAACGGAAAAACTTACTCAGAAACTAACTGAACAGCAGGCAAGCCTTTAGGAGGTCAGTGTTGTAATGAGCATCTTCCCTGCGCATGAATATATCTTTGAACTCTGTGCAAATTTTCAGTCTAGGTGTTGTTGAGAACTGTTGCAAAAGTCACAGTGTCAAAGTTTAAGCGCTCACATCAGTTCGTCAATGTAAGCAGAAGAACAGAGAAAACCTGGTGCTGTTCTCAGTGACTTTTGAACTTCCAGCCAGAACTCAGCAGCTTCTCTGACGTAGATGGTACCAAAGTGTCTTATAAGTGATTATTATACCTTATACAGCCATCCTTACCATTCTGGCATTTTCATGAAACACCTTTGTAGTCTTCAGAGTGACTGCTCAAATCAGCAAATGTCTCAAAACATACTTATGTTTAGCCAGTTGTTCCGGATGTTAACTGCTTGTTAAATTTCTTTGATAGAGAGAGCACAAATTATCCAATTACTATTCCTGGGTGTTATTGGTATGACAGATTTTTCAATTTTCTATTTCAGTTTTCTATTAAAAACATAGCAAGCCAAAAAGAGGGATCAGAACATCTTGAACTCTTGCCATTTGAGACAATGACATTTTATAGGTTGGAAGGAGAGGAGTAACAGAACAGAAGCTAATGCACAACTTTTTTCATTAAGTGAGGCAATATACAGGAAACACTGATTCAGCATAGTTGTACTGAAACTTAAAAATACTTCTATTCATTGTTTCTAGTATCTACCAAACAGAAAGGAGACAAAGAGCAGCAATATTATACTTTTCACTTTGATATCCTTAAGAAGTGTATAGACCTAGATGAAAAAAGTGAAGAGTGTAGGTTTTTGGAAGATGAAGAAAAATGTTCAATATATCCCAACCTTTCAAGAGGCAAGTAAAGCATATGGGTATAGCATGTACACTCCTGAAGGGATGTGCAAGACTTTTAAAGGATGAAGGAAGATGCAGCTATCCCATAACTATCAGTGAACAGCGAGGTAGAGAAGTATATTACCTATGTCATCATCATCATCATCACATATTACCTACGTGAGAGAGCAAGTAATGCACAGAGACAGTCCAGCAGTCTAGGCCCATTTCAGAACAGACAGAAAAAAGTATACAAAAGTAGAGCTCTCTGCATGATGGGATACTGCATGGGAACTGTTGACTGCAGTACTGACACTTAAAGCTCTATGTTTTTATCATCATGGAGTGTGGGATGGTAGGATCAAAGCAGTATTGTCAGATTCAAATCCACTAAGATGGTTTTGCAAGAAGGAAAAAACATCCAGTTTTGAAACTGCCTTCTCATGTAATTCTTTTTTGGGCATTTTTTTTTCATCTTCTTTGTTTGTTTGCTGGTTTTTGTTAGTTGGTTAGTAATTTACTTGAAATAATCCTGAGTATAAGCATTTCTTACTCCTATCAGAATTAAACTGAAGAAATATTTGAAGAGCAGCACACGTGATTCTGAGTTTGCAGCCCTTGGAGGTAGGGACTTTGCACCCTTCTCATCCATCTCAAATAGATCTGCAATTTGTTTCTTTATGATTGTTTTCAGTGGTTATAAAACTTGGGCTTTCTATTTGCCTTACCGTATGATACCACAAAACAGACTCGTTCACGACAGTCTATATTTACACACCTCATGTTCGCTCAGCACTATAAAGCAACAACATAAAAACAAGCAGCTACAGCAGTTATTACAATCTCCAGTTAGTAAAAGTCAATCAGCTTTTGGCCTCATGACATAACATAACAGGTTATCTTCAGAAAGAGCCATTCCCAGTGTGTGGGTTGTCATCATATTGTGATGATTACTGATCCAGTTCCATATGTGGTGCACAGTTAAGACCACAGGAGATGACAATGGAAAAATAGAAGAGAACACAGAAGTTTTAATGTTGAAAAGCATAACAAACTGGATGGATTTTTTTACAGTTACTTTGTCTCACTCCTTTCTGATTCATAATACAAGAGCATTATCCAAACAAATAAGTAAGCTCAAAAAATGCATAATAAAGTATCATAATCGAAAGGATGAAGGGAAATCTCTCTCTCCTTCTCTGTTTACTGGAAATGCCAATACATGACAAATAATGCAATCTGATTTAATGTTATTAAAATAGAGAAGATAATATGCTTAGTTTTGTTGTCTTCTACACTGTATGATATGGTAAGATGTTTCAAAATCGTGTGTATATAATCCTCCACCCCAGAACCTTCCAGTAAAACAAAAAGCTTTCTTATAAAATATTTTTGCAATGAAATATCTGCTGTTTGGAAAGTTAAAAAATGAACTAATTAAAACTTTTTTAAATTGTCATCCTCAGAACATGTCAATTCTATTTAATAAACTATTGTTGCCCTCTAGTGTTCAAACACAGCTTGTAAAGGCCCCTCCAGAAAGATCCAAACTGGTCACCTAACAATTCCCAATTTGTTCTTAATCTGACACAACCAGTGGATGGCAAAAAAAAAAAAAAGGTTTAAGTGTTTCAGTACACCTGACTAATACCTTATTGTCTTTGCTCAAGCATAAAAAAAGGTTTTTCATGTAAAGTTCTTTTACTCAAGTATTGTGAAAGGCCACTCACCAAATTAGTTATGGTACTTGTGCACCTTTCTGTCTTACTTCTGCCTTTCACTGTGCTTGACATGCATTGCTGATTGGGTTGGAGGGCAATGTTTTAATGATATTAGTCAATCTGTAGAATCATAGAGTGGTTTGGGCTGTAAGGGACCTTAAAGCTCATCTTGTTTCAACCCCCCTGCCATGGACTGGGACACCTTCCACTAGACCAGGTTGCTCAGTCCCATCCAACCTGGCCTTGAACCCTTCCAGGGATGGGGCAACCACAGCTTCTCTGGGTAATCTTCTCCAGTGCCTCACCACCCTTAGGAAGAATTTTTTCCTAACATGCAATTTATACCTACCCTCTGTCATTTTTAAAGCCATTCCCCCTTGTTCTATCACTATATGCCCTTATAACATGCCCCTTTCCAGCTAAATACATGCCCAGTCCTCTGAACAACCTTGAGATGTATCTGCTTGTCTTCTCTTGAACATTTTGCTACTGTACTGTAACTTATCAATTAACAGCAACCATCTTTCCCTCCAACAAATTACAGCAGAAATGCACAGTGAGGATTCAGAGGTTGTTCTCAGCACCTCTCCTGCAACAAGCTGCTGTGAGCTCACCTGCAATGTAGAAAGCTACTCATGAAGTTTTAGTTCTTATGAGAGTAAATTATGGTCAACCTAAGATCTGCATCTGCATTTTTACAGCTAGGCCTAGTACTTATCAGTCTGTGAACTCATTTCCTAAAAATGTTGTTTCCTCTTATCACGTTCCTTGACCAGAAACCTCTGAAAATGTCTATTAAAAAAAAACCTGAGGTTAAACAAAGTGCAGTCAACAAACAAGCTGATGAATTTGAGATACTTTTCTTTTGCAATTTTGTTCACCTTTAAGAAGTTATCCAGAGTGTTTTTCATTTACATAACAGCTGGATTTGTACCTATAAAGCAATGTGCAGCACCCTCCATAGTAAGAATTCAACTTCTTGACATTTCTTTGATCTCTGAATGGAATTTTCAGGGAATTTTCTTAGAGCTTTCAGAAAACTTGCCTTGAGGCCATTTTTGGATCACGCCTGCTTCCCACCACACTAAGCTTGACAGATCTAACAATCTCTTGGATGTGAGTCACATTTCATATTTTGTAATAGAATTGCTCCCTTGCATCTCTGCCATGATGTTTGTTGTTGATTATGCTGCCTGACATGGATACTTTGAAATCTAGCCTTTCATTCTAAAAACAGGTTTAGACTGAGTGCATGCAAAGGGAAATCAAAATAATATGAACTGGAAGTTGTGGAGCAAGCAGTAGATGCTCCCAGACCCTCTCACTGTTGCAGTCAGGGAAACACAGATAATCACAGAATTGTTTAGGTTGGGAAAAAACTTGGAAGATCATCAAGACCAACCGCTAATAAGTTGCTATACTTATTACCAGTCACATGAAGAGGACCCTAGAAGTGCAGCGGGTGTGCTTTGAGAGCCAGCAAGAGCTCTGTGTGTTCAGGAGGGACAGCAAGTCCAGCACTGACACACACGGTCCTTTCGAGAGCCACTAACGAGGGAAGCAGGTGAATGCCAGAAGCATGAAGATAATGCAGCCTTGTCCATCTGTTCCTGCTGACTGCAGGAAACCTCTTTGAGATGTGCACCCTCCAACAACATAGTCACCATTTTTCTCTAAAACTTTTTTACCTCTTGGTAGGAGCCCACAAAGGAGCCCACACCTTTCTGTGTGTCTTCTGCCAATAATACAGCTGTTGTCCTTGCTAAGCCCACTCACAGGTTTCTCCCCCTTCTTGAGATGTTGAGTCTCAGCAGTCAGGGATTTAGGTGTATTAGAACAAATTCTCTGTCGTGCATATGCCAAGTCACTTGGTGACGCAGTTTGTCACAAAAGACCTTGACTGTAGCTTGCTTTACTTTCGGAAGATAACTTTCTCTCTGATACACATTGCACAAATCCAAGCCTGAAAAGGGCAAATTCCACTCTTTGGAAAAGGCCAATTCAGATTTTTAGTATGTGGTTTTAAGGACAGCTCATGATGTATGCAGAAAAAGAACTTTGAAGATATGTATATAACTATAAATTATATGTAGAAAAGGAAAATTAAGCTATGTTATATGTAATATAATTTTTACTGTTTGTACCTAAAACCATTTGGATGCAAAGCTCTATTACTAAGTATTCCTTTAAAGCTACAAATAGAGTAAATAGGATTGCCAGGCAATCATGTAACACTATGGCATTTGGTGCAAATAGCGCTGAAAACACCCACGTGTTGCACAGGTACTCAATTTATTAGGTGTACTTCTATTTCACTAATCTTGTCACAGTACAGATTAAGCTCATGAAATGCTTTTTCTCCTTAAATATAAGACCTTCTTAGCTTAACTTGGATTTGAGTGTTTATTCTCAGGATTTAGCATAAATCAAAAATGATAGACATTATAGTTCAGTGTAGAAAGAGCATTTCTTTTCCCCACCAAAACCATATCCTGCCTTCTGCTTTGCCATTAGAGGAGAGAAAGGGAATCCATCCTTTTCTGAGATTTCAGTATCTACTGTTCCATTTCAGAGTTGCCCTCTCAAAAGTTACATGCTCCTCAAAATTTTATTCCCTCTCCCCATCAGACATCAGAATACATTCCATTGATCAAGTAATCCAGCCTGGTATAATGCCTCTTCTGAAGAGATTCATGTATTTTCTTCCCTGTCAGTGCAATAACCAGCAACAAGAACATCACCCCAAAAAGCAAAGCTGCTAGAAGGCTGCTTTTCTCCCCCAGCTGAACAACACTTTTCCCTCTCAGAACACCCTCTGACAGGTAGCTTTCTGAGTCAGATGGGTCATAACCCTGAAGGTCATTTTGGGAAGATATGGGGGAATCACTAGTAGAGAGAATGAAACCTGAAAAAGAGGAGAGGGTTACATGGCTAGTATCATTGGAAGAGACAGCTGCTGGCTCAGGAGATGTGGTTGGAGTCCTTAGCCCTGATGGAGCAGTAGTAGATCTGGAATTTGTGGTTGTAGAAGTTGTGGGACTGGAAAGAGGAACACGAGTAGCAGCGATGCTGGTGCCAGGGACACCAGGTTTAGCTCCAGCGGCTGTGGTAGGCGGAGAGGGAGCTGTGGTGGTGGTGATTGTAGGTTCAGCAGCACCAGGATGCAGAGAGGTTGTACGAAATTCCAACCGGGCCGTACTTGCAGGCAGAGGAGTAAGAGTAGTACTGCTGGTTTCAGGAGCACTAGGCTGAGTGGTGGGGAATGAAGCAGTGGGGTTTCCAGTGTGAACAGCAGAAAACATGTTTGGTGGCAGATTAATTACTTTCTGCCTTGGGATGGAATCTAAGTTCTCAGACTGTTTTGCCCTTTGAGATTCAGGAAAATCTGTATGAAATTCAATGTTGTCTAAATGCTTGCCTATGTGGTTCACGGGTTCAGATGCCTGATGAAATACAGATTGTTGCCAAGTGGCAGTATGATTCTGATGGCTATTCTGAGTGTGAGAAAAAATCGTTCCTGCATCCGAAGACAAAGAATACTCATTTGAAGAAAAGTTCTCAGTTTTGATAGATTTATCCTCTGGGGCCTGGGTGTCTGGAAACAGAAATACCAGTATTTAATTATTAAATCTATTTTTGACTAATATAGGTTTACTCAATTTGTATTACTTAGAAAGAGAGGCATAAGGGAGCTCCAGGAGGTAATGACTAATGAAACTGAGGCATCATGAACTTCTTTTCTTTAAAATATACACAGTGACATTTAAATTCTACGTCAAAAATACCTGTCAGCCTCAAGCCTCATCACATCAGACCATGACTGCAACTTCTTACAGAATTTTCCTCTGCAGTGATCATCCCAGTGTGATTAGTTTATACCTACATTGCAGGCGTGTAAGCATTTATTTAGAGGTGAAAAGCAGAGTGAATAGGCTCACTGCCTTCAAACCATTCTCAGCCTCTGTGAGTTAAGAAGTAGATATTATCAATGTTACTTCTGTCAATTTTTTTGTTAGATGTACATTTCCACCTAGTTAATATGATTAGATACAGCCCTTTCTTGTAATGTCACCCTGTGCCTGACACAATTCAATTCACATTCAAAAATTGTTTTGTGATACAAGGTGGCAATAACATCTCCATTTTTATAGGACACTTTATACACATACTGATTTGTAGGAATGACCTGAGTTCCAACTGCTGTGCTTGAAGACACTGCTCCAAGAGTATGTGAGGTACTGGCAGAGAAGACCTCCATGAGAAGCAGACTACATTTTATAAATTTCTCCAGAAGTTCATATGTATTCCTTGCAAAACAGGTGGCTGATGTCATTTAATAGAATTTGGAAGAAGAAGAACAACAGTGTTATGTGACAGAAATACTATAAAAATTATAATCCTAGCAGCTACCTGACTTTACACAGTACTACAGAAAGTATTTGGGTGAACACAAGTTCTTGGAAATACCGGCTAATTGTTCATTCAGATTTTATATATCTATATATGTATATGATTTATAATTATATTCATAATATAAAAATACAATATATATTTATAACAATTCAGCTGCTGCACAGAACATTTAAAAGGGAACATGCTCTCAAATAGTTCTGACTCTCACTCATTTGTTTTTATCATAGAAACAAAGAGGTTTGTTAACTGCAGTGGAATTGAAATAAATTTTAAAAAAGTCCATTACATTTTCATTGTCACTTTTTTCTCAAGTAGGATCTCTTATCTAGAGCGATGGATATATTTCAGTTTTACTATACGAGCAAAGAAGCCTACTTGGCTGCTGTTTTAATATATCTTTCCAAGCCTTAAGACGCCACAAAAAAAAAAATGAAGTGCAAAAAAAGCCAACCCCAAATAACAAACCAAAAAGCTAGCAATGCTAAAGAGTACAGCAAATACTTCATTTGAATCATGGGCACAATTTTATCTTAATCTTCCATCAGACATTGACTTTATAGTATTTTTTGTCTCCGTTTTAAACTACAAGCTCCCAGATGCAGTGGCCCAAAACTGTCACATGCAAAGTACAGCTGGGGTATTAGGATAGATGTTTGTTGGTAAGAAAGAACAAGGGCACTATATGAATCAAACTTTAAAAGGAGCTGAAAAAAATAAAATGGTCTTTCTGATATGTCAAATCCAATATGCTTCATTAGAAACCAAACTTCAGGTTGTCACTCTTCAAAAACAAACTAAACACCTCCTGAGCATGTGTTACTTCACAAGCCATAGGTTGTTTCCATTCATTAACAGCCACAAGGATAGTCAAAAAAAAAAGAAAAAGCTAAATTTTATTACTAATGTAGCATCAGTATTTTAAGTTGCTTTATTACCAATAAATTATCTTTCCCCCTTTTATTCTGGTTTTCAGTGTAACCACATATACATCCTCATATGAAAGAACAAAGTTTGAAATGTTTGTTGGTAATATGTTTGTTGACACTGCTCAGGTGCTATCTTTGAAAACTTATTAGGAACATAGGGTAAATAAGCTAGGATAATCTTTCTCTAATTCAATGTTCACAGAAGCTAAAAACTGCAAAATGAAAGAGAGGTAGTATATGCAATCGAGTTGTTCACTCAGCATTGTACTATATGCAGAATGAAAGCACAATTACATTTCTCGTTCCTTTGTTTGAAACTCTGATATTCTTGTAGGGGAGAAAGAGCTGGAGAAAAGAGTAGTTATAATAATAATTTTATGGGCATGCAGTTCATTTGTTGCACATTGCTTTTGCACAATTCCTGTGTGACTGTGCTTGCACAAAAACACTTGGTAACATTATATGAGTAATCTTTCCATATATCATGCTGTTGCTCCTTGCAAATAGTTCCTCTTGGAAAAGCTCTCTTTTTCAGCAGGAGTTGTTTCTGGAAATATGAAATTTTTGCTCTCTCTCAAGCAGCCATACTGAAACCACCTTGTAAACTCTTGGCAGGACAATCTAATTATCAGTTTCTTATCTGAGCTGTTCAAACAAGTCTGGTGCAAGTCAATGTCAATCGACAAACATGCCTTGCCATTAAAAATCCCACAGCCTATGACAGAGAGCGAGAAATTCCTGAGTGTGCAGCCCATATACCATAAAGCTTCCAGTTTAGAAAATTTGCTTCTGCACTTCAGGTTCTCTTACTGAAAACAGAAAATAATGATTACTATTGCCAATTATTCATCAGTGTAACATGAGCCCTTTAAAAAGGGCATGGTATTTCCACTGCTTTCAGTGATACTCTCCATCGTTACATCCAGGAAATCTTCCTTCTTGAATATATCAATATGGCAGCAGCTTCTTTTTGTTTTAAGCAAGGGCAAATGATGAGGAGTTTTCAATCTAATGTGAAGGAATTTTATAAGGGTCATGGTGTTATTCCAAGCAGGAAGCTGGGCCCACAAATAAGCTCACCACACACCTGCTCCTCCATTTTCCACAAAGCAAAGGAGCAACATTCTCAATTTATTGGGCTTGGCTTAGAACACTTTACTAAAAACACACAAAAAACCATTTTCTGGCCACTACTGAAAGTTCACAGGTGGAAAAGTCCTCTAGTGTGGGGGCTATTATTAAAATTATTATTATTAAATAATCTCACTATTATTTACCTGTAGTTATCTTGTAGCTCACAAGTCCTGTTGCAGGTTTCATCAGACAAGCCTCTGTGGTAGGGCAGTAAAAGAGGTAGCAGTTTGGATGTGCTTTTGTTCTTCCAGCATAAAAAATCATCAAATTACATTTCTTGTCTCCTGCAAAACATAATAAATGTGTGTTACAGCAATAAGAACTTTTATAGCAGTATGATAATGAGCTCTATTTTGTTAATTTTTCTTCATGTAAGAGGAAAACTACTAACTCATAACATCCCTACAGGAAAAACAGCCAAGGAATACAAAAGAACGGCCTACGGCCAAAATACGAAAGATCACACCTTCCTCTTCCTGTACAAATAAAGTTGGGGAAATGATGAGTCTAATCCCTCATCTTCCCCTTACCTGTACCACAATGGCACCACTTTATATAACGATTTCTCACTTACAAATCCTGATAAATCTGAAAACCTCCTTGGTAAACTCCTGGGGAAGAAAATTATTTATACATTTTTCCTTATCACATCCCAGGAATTGCCTGTCTTGTTGCTGCCTGGGAGGGTCACCTTTACCTCTGTAGTTTCTACTTGCTGCTTTGCCTCCTACTGCTCCAAGAGCTTGATGCAAACCAACCAGCACAGAGAAGGGTAAGCATTCTCATGTTTTGCTAAAATTAAATACAAAAATGTCAGTGCAAAATATTGGTCACTTTTTAGCGCATCTACTAAACACAGCCTAGGCATCTTGGGCTTTGGGGATCTGAGTTTTTAACGCTTAAAACTACCACAGTTTCCATGATGCAACTATTTTCCTGAACACCCCGGGGGTCTTGCGTTGAGATCCAACATCACGCTTGGCTAAAGAGGGTAGCAGCCGCAAGCGGGTACTATCGAAACCCGAAAGAAAGGATAAATTGACGTTCCTACGCTGAATACGGAGAACAGCGGCTGAGCACCACGCGAGCCCAAACCCCAGAAGTAATTTCCCAGGCGCTGGCAGGCGCTGGCGGAGAAGGCGGCCGAGGTTACCTGCGAGCCCGTCCCCGGAGCAGCAGGCGCGGGCACAAGCCCCCGCGCTGGGGACGCGAAGCGGCTCCGCGCCCCGGACGCCTCGGGGCAGGGACAAGTCTATATCGATGATGGAATTCTCCATTTTCTCCGCGGAACACTCCTGACTCAGGGACGGCCCGGCCATCACACAGGTGATCACCAGCAGGCGAACGGACCACCGGCTGCCCCCCAGGGACATGGTGACCGGGGCGGGGGCTCGGCGCGGCCCGGGACGCACCGGGCGGGTTTGTTTCCAGCTGCGCGGAGCGCTGGCGGCCGGGGGAGCCGCGCCGAGGTGCCTCTTCTGCTCCCCGGGCGGGGAGGCGTTTCTGGGGGCACCTTCGGGCTGTCCCCCCTGCCGCCCGGTGGGGGGAAGGCAGCAGCGGGGCCAGGCCTGGCTCGGCAGGGTGCTCAGGGGAACCGCGGGTGTCCCGGCACGTCCGGGAGGAGGGACCGCGGGAGGCGGGTCCGGGCCGCCTGCCTGCCCTCCTCCTCCCCCCTCGGCCTGCCCCCTTCCTGCTCTTCTGCCTTCCTTCTTGCTTACCTGCCTACCTGCTCTCTTCTTGCCCTTCTCCTGCCTTCCTTCTTGCCTACCTGTCTGCCTGCCTACCTGCCTGCCTACCTGCCTACCTGCCTGCCTACCTGCCTACCTGCCTGCCTACCTGCCTGCCTACCTGCCTGCCTACCTGCCTGCCTGCCTACCTACCTGCTTACCTACCTGCTTACCTGCCCTCTTCCTGCCCTTCTCCTGCCTTCCTTCTTGCCTTTCTATCTGCCTACCTACCTGCCTATCTGCCTTCCTGCCTGCCCTTCTGCTTGCCCTCCTCCTCCTTTCCTCCTCCCTACCTGCCCTCCTACTGCCCTTCTGCCTGCCCGGCAGGGCTGCGGGGGTGTTCCAGCTCCTCCAGCTGCTTGCCGGCGCCAAGGGCTCTTCCTGAGCATCAGACACAAAGGCAAAACCACACGGTGAAATTCTTCGTTTGTCAGGCTATTGTGGTTTTGCCCACAGTCAGATCTGCTTTTGGAGGCTGTAATGAAAGTGATTAATATGCATATCCTGGACTAAACGGACATGGACGTATTTCCCTGTCTATGTAAGAGACTCCTTGCTACCTGAGCAATCCTGTTCAAACACAGCCAAACACAGGGTGTTTGCAGAATGGGAGTTGTACACAATAGCCTGTCTACTAGGACTGGTGGCTTAGCCATTCCTCCCTCAGCTATCTCTGTGAAATTGCTTGCTTAAGTAATGTTTTTGCTTGGAAATTTTTCATTTCCTTTTTTAAATTTTTTTCTTATTATTTTTGGGATGGTGTTTAGGAGTAAAAGTAGCCCAGAGACAAATGAGTGCAAAGAATAAAAGGATTGTAGGACACATTCCTTCTTTTTCAGGAAAGAGACCTTTAATGTAGTTTCCTGTAAATAAAAGACATTTTCTTTCTAGAGATGGTATATTACCTGAAGAGATACCAAATGGCAGGTTATTTTATATATTATAATGATTAGATGCCAAGGGATGGATGTTCTTGATGCCCAGTCAGTCCCCTTGGTCAACATGGCTGGGTTTTGGCTTTTTTCTGGACATGATTGTTCTAAGAGACTGAGCCCACCATCGCATTTTGCATCAAATGGCCATTTTGGGGCAATTCCTAATGTTTGGTTGTGATTCTCACATTCTTGCTGGGGTGTTTTTATCTGAAATTTTCAGCTACACTTGTTTAAGAAAATGTTTCTAGCCAGGCATTTCTCTTTTGGTAAACTGGTAACATTCATTGTTCAAAGAAAAAGTTGTAAGAGAATGTGAACACTTAAGGTGTCACCTATTAACTGCATCACACAGTGAATGACAATGGGAATGAATACTAAAAGTGAGCCCAGGTATTACTCCTACTATATGTTAGACAAAGTTGCATCTGCTACCTGCCTTTGCTTACAGCATGGTGGTGGTAGAAGCCAAGCAGAAAGAAGCTGAAAATTAAGTCTAAAGGTCTGTCTGGGTTGGTGGTAAGGGTGAGGACACTTGTTCTTTACCAGGACTGTTGGGATAGTGTTAATGGTGTGAGGGTACTGTAATGATAGTGAATGTGAAAATATACACAGAGACTACTGTGGTGGGACAGGCACAGATGATTATGGGAATATGAGAGGGGCTGATGTGATCTATAATATGAGCAGGGCAGAAGAGATACTGGGGATAACATGACTGCCCTGCTCTAGCCACCATGGCTGATTTCTGCTCTTCCTGCCTCTTCTTGGTAGGCAGGTGCTCAGCCTCCCTGAGGAGACTAGAAGCAAATCTGTCAGGCTGCTGAGGTGCAGGGAAGCCAAGGTCCATCAAAAGCTATGCAGAAACCTTGTCTGCTGGCTAGGAAAGTGCCAGCCTTGCCCAGCAGCTGCTGTGCTCCCTTCACCACTGAGATGGGAAAGAAGGGAGGCTGAGAGAGGGAGAATGGAGGGACCCCCAACTCTGTGTCATGGTGCTAAGTCACTAAAGGTGTTTTCCTGCTTCTGTAGAGCACCTCTCTGCTTGAGAGCCAGTGCTCATGGTGAAACACTTGGGCACAGATAGGATGAACTTCTATTGTAACCTATTCTATTGGGTTACAAAAGTACATAGTACAGCATACAGCCTATAGCTAGCAAAAGGTGATGTTGGATTGGGCTGATGTTCTCATGAGATAGGAGTATCTTTTTGTGTTAAATTAAATCTTCGTGACAATTAGCAAAGGCAGCCAAGAAAAATGGTGCTGAGTTTGGTGCAGAGCTTTTGATGATGTTGGGCTTCATGCATGAGCAGAGAACAGGCTTGCTCAGAAGCTAGCACGCACCAGTGCTGGTCCTATTATAGACAATTCTTCTGTCACAGACAATTGCATGCTGCCTTTTCTGATTTGACTCCCAAATCTTCGTTCGCGAAGCCTAGCCATGAAATCTGAAATCTCAAAGTATGTTTTCTTTTCATTTTCACTTGTGTGTTTTCGGTTTGCTTTTTTTTTTTCTTTCTTTTTTTCTTTTTTCCTAAGCCTGACCTCCCTGTGAACTTTTGATCTGGGCTGCTTTTCCCTCACTCCTGGCACACTTGTATATAAGGCAGCTGGTGATGGATGTTGCCCAGACTGCTCCGTGCCCAGCTGTCTGGGGTTTGGCATGTTTGTCTTAGCAGAGGAGAATTAATACATGCAATTAAAGAAATCCCAGAATCACAGATTTGTTAGGGTTGGAAGGGACCTCTGAAGATTACCTAGTCCAACCCCCCTGCCAAGGCAGGGTCATTTAAGGCAGGTTACACAGGAACTCATCCAGGTAGGTTTCAATGTCTCCAGTCAGGGAGACTCCATGCCTTCCCTGGGCAGCCTGTTCCAGTGCTCTGCCACCCTCAGTGTAAAGTTCTTCCTCATGTTAAGATGAAACTTCTTGTGTTTTACTTTATAGCCTCGTCCTGTTGCTGGGCACCACCGAAGACTCTGGCACCATCCTCTTGGCACCTGCCTTTGAGATATTTATATGCATTAATGAGATCCCCTATCAGTCTTCTCTAAACTAAACAGGCCCAGCTCCCGCAGTCTCTCCTCATAACAGAGATGCTCCAGACCCCTCATCATCTTTGTGGCCTCTGCTGGACCCTCTCCAGTAGCTCTATGTCTCATACTGAGGAGCCCAGACCGGGACACGGTACTCCAGCTGTGCTCTCGCTAGGGCCGAGCAGCGGAGCAGGATCATCTCCCTCAACCTCCTGCCCAAGCAGATGAGGGATGCTCTGCACCGCCCCGGCCCGAGAGACCCATCCGTGCCCGCTCGCCGCCACTCCGGCGGGGCAGAAGCGAGAGACCCGTTCCGCTCCCCCTTCGCTGGCGGCCCCGAGCGCAGCCCCGCCCGCGGGCGGAGCCGCCGTGACCCGCCACCGCCGAACCCCGTGGGCGGGCGGCGGCCGCGGGCGCTTCCCCGGCGCTGCGGGAGGCGGGGAACGGCGGGCACCGCCATGGGAGCGGAGCAGAGCGCCGAGGCCGAGAGCCGCCCGGGCGAGCCCAGCGCCGCAGGTCGGTGCCCGGCGCCCGGCAGGGATGGGGGGAAGGAGGGAGGGAGGCAGGGAGGGAGACAGAGACAGGGCGCCGTGAACGGGGCTCGCCCGCCGTGAACGGGGGCTGCCCCCGGCGAACGGGGCTGCCGCGGGCGGTGGCGAGGGGCGGCGGCTGTGGATCAGGGAAGAGCTGTTTCCTTGGGAGGCAGCGGTGGGCGCCGGCCCGGCCCTTCCTGTGACGGCGAGGGGGCACCGCCCGGGCCGGGGGAGGCAGAGCCGGAGAGGTGGGAGCACCGTGGGCAATGTGGGTGTGGAGCTAAAGGAGGAGGAGTGAGGAGGGTGTCAGTGGTGCAGGTGTTTCAGAATCAGCTGTTACCCGATTTGGAAAGCGAGAAAGGAGCTTAGAGTCTTCCGGTGATCTCGGTAATGTGTTTGTACTATAAAAAGCATATCTGTACAATGTTAAATAGAGCAACATTCACGTAGGGTTGGATTCTGATGGAATCTGCTTATTAATTTGATTGTTCCCTTTTCCTCCCATATCCTTCCTTTGCATCTCCTTTGCCAGCCAAGCAACGCGCAAAAATGGACGACATTGTGGTGGTAGCCCCAGGAACACAATCCTCACGGAATGTCAGCAATGATCCAGATGTCATAAAACTGCAGGAAATTCCAACTTTCCAGCCCCTTTTGAAAGGTAGGTGATCGTTCTTCCTCTGTTTTTAAAAGCCGTCTTTTTTTTTTTTAATACCTAATGGAATGTGTGCTTTGTGTATCCTGAGGTTCCTACTGAAGTTCATATTTCTGTCCCTATTTTTCACTATCCCTCTTGTTTTAAACCTTACTTTCTTTTGTTCTGTCCCAACCTTCTAAATGGTGGATGAACTGGTCTAGAGATGTGCTAGTAATCTCTGCAGTGGAACCATCTACTATGAAGACAAAAGAGTTCCGAGCATACCAGCTTGCCCTGTACCACTGGTTGATGGGATATGCTATATTACATTCTGATATATAATGGATCACAGTCTCCAGTTTTGCTCCAGTTTCTTAAAATCAGTTGTGTGTTACTCTCTCAGAGTCATAACTACCTGTGTATGCATTCAGTTTTTTGAAATCAAGATATCTTATGGGAGTTTCCAACATAGAGCAGATTTTGCTCTTGTTTTTTTGGGGTGGGATACACGGACTGAGGCTTTTCTTTGTTTCTTTTCCTCACACTGTTTTTTTCGTACATCCCTTGCACTCATTACATGTTCTTTCTATTCTGTTCAAAGGGAAGTGAAGATTTCAATCAAAACTGTCAAGCCTACAGTGTAACAAAAACTCTTTGTGCATTTTGTGGCCTGGCTTCTAGCTATGTATTTTTTGAGGAGTCTGCACAGTATCATTAGTATCTGAAAGTCCCTTAGGAAGGGAGATGTCTGGAGCAACCTGCACAAATTGGTTTGGTAAAAGCAGCCTCCTCTTGGGTTCCTCTCCCTGGTACAGTGTGGGTTGGCAAATCTGGGTGGATGTACTGTGTAGTGGACACTCAGTGAGCCTGTGTTTTTTTGGAAATGCAAGGCCTGCTGTGTGTGCATACACGGGCATCAGCACTTGCTCATGCCTTGCAGGTCTGCTATGACAGAGAGGATGGAGCTGGGATGTTTAGCCCTCCCTACTGCTGGAAGAAATGATGTGGTGTTGTACAGCTGAGGGTTTAGGTCACTGATTCATGCATGGCTGCCGGGAAGTTATTGGAGCCACTTTGCCCTAAAGGCATCGCTAGAGGTAACGTAGCATCACAACATCACTTTTTGGCCAGAAAGTTGTTCCCTTTTTTTGTTTGTTTATGTCTGCTACATGAGGACCCTGGAACACGACTAGAAATTGTGGACATTATGACAGCCTATCAGGCAAAGCAGTTGGCATTTTGTTGGGTACTGATAGATAGGGTCCAGAAGTCTGCAGCATTGACTGCTGTTTTCAGCAGAAGAGGCAGAGAGGTAGGGAGAGCATTAAACAAAGCAGAGCATGCTTTGGCTGTAAAGCAAATGCTTTGTCCTGCTTTGTTTGTAAGGATCATGCCAGCGACAGCTTGAAATGTAAATGCTGGAACCCAAATCCACAAAAGAAATGAGAAAGTTTTTTATTAGGAGAGACCAAATTTCGAAGATGCTACAATATCTGGCACAGAGGTGGTTGCATATATGCAAGAGTGCGATGACAAAGGATTTCAGTTCCACCCAGCCTCAAACTGGTGAGCAAACCTGGGTTGCACAAGGCCTGTGGAAGGAAGTCCTGGGAAGTGGGACTAATGACCACTTCCAGGGGCAGTGTTCTTGTATATGTGTTTGGGTCACAAGGATACAGGACTTGGTGTGGGAAGTGAGGAAGAAGAGAGAGCAGCAGCCATGTGGCTGAGATGGAAAATTGGAAGGCACTGCCTTAGATGACCAGTCCAGGTCCTTCAACTCCTAAACATGCATGTGTTGTCTTGGTGACTGTGTTGCTTTCTCTGGTCTTACTTTGGACCTGCGGATGTATGACAGAAATCTTCCTTTCTGTTCCTATCACTTGGCCTGCTATTTCCCTAGAGTCTCCTGAGACTTGGTGGTATCTGGTGACTGCTCAGGAGTTTTGCATGCTGAATCGCTTTTGTGAATAGCTTTTTCAACCTCAAGTACTTGTTATTACTTGGACAACCAGACTGTGATACTTGTGTTCAGTACAAAAAGCAGTGTGTGCCTGTTGAGTGAGTTGACTGTTGAGGGACTACACATCTGCCACAGGCCCAGTTGAGAAGCTGTTCTGTTTTGGACTGGTCTCTTATCTGTATTCTTCACATGAAAAATTATTTGTCTGGAAAGGCTGAAGAAGTTTCAAGGTTTTAGGAGCTAATTCTAAAAACTTGTGCCTTGTGATCTGCCAGCTTGGGGAGCTGAAGAGGTGAACTTAGATTCCCTGTGGGCTTCATTATTCTATTTAGTTTCTCTTTGTCTAAGCAATGCCAAGCAGTTTTATTTTGCTTATAAGTCTCAAAAGAGGCCTAATAATTAAATAAATGGACTGGAAAAGCACATGGTCATGTAAAACACTGCATGTTCCTGAGAGGCAAAAACACTTGTTCCTCCTAGCCATACTGAGTTGAGTTTGTGATCAATGAAGCTGAAAATCTTTAGCATTGTGCACTCTTCACTTGGAAGAATATGCCAGTGTCATATCCATTACATCTTTCATACTATATTTTCCTCAACTTCTACAGGAAAAAATTGTACCTTAGAGTTACAACTATGAGCCCTTGTGAAAAGTCCCTCTCTAGCTTTCTTGTAGGCTCCCTTCAGCTACTGGAAGGCTGCTATAGTGTTGCTCAAAGCAACTTGACCATGAAGACCCCTCATGATGAGGCATCCACAACTTCTTTGGGCTACTTGTTCCAGTGTCTTGCTACCCTCATCATAATAAAATTTTCTTCCTTATGTCCATTCTAAACCCACCCTCTTTCAGTCTAAAACCATTTTCCCTTGCCCTTTCATTACAGGCCCTGGTAAAAAGGCTCTCTGTCTTTCTTAACAAGCATTATTTGTTCTATGGAAGCTTTCTTGGGAACGAAACTTTTTCCTACTTATGGCTAGAATTCTGCATTGACAGGTATTCAGCATGAAAAAGCAAAAGAAAGAGGGATTACTGTCTCACTGCAAAGTCACTGTGCAAGCAGCAGAAGCTTCTTTACACTATTGTGCCTCCTCCCATCCTCACAGAATTTTGCAGTTATTTTGCTTTCCAATCTCGTTTCACGGTTCTTCAGGTCAACCTGGTGGTATTGCGACCATTAGGTTGGATATTGGGAAGAAATTCTTTACAGATAGAGTAATCAGGCATTGGAATGGGCTGCCCAGGGAAGTGGTGGATTCTCCGTCCCTGGAGGTTTTTAAGATGAGACTGGATGTGGCATCAGTGCCATGGTCTGGTAACCATGGTGGTAGTGGATCAAGGGTTGGACTTGATGATCTCGGAGGTCCCTTCCAACCTGGCTGATTCTATGATCCTGACTGGTGGACAAAAGCTGCCAGATAGGCAGTGAGTTTCAGCTTCTGCTAACAGGGCAGGGAGGACTGTGACTTTCCTCTAGGTGGGTCTTGTACATTAAAATTAACCTGTAATTAAAACAACACCTGTAGTAACTGGAAAAAAACTTTTTGTCACCAGTCCCCTGTAAATATTGGCTACGTTTTTGTGCTGCCATTTTACTTGTCCTGTCCTCCTTGTTTGAAGGAAGCATTTACCAACATCCCTTGGAAGCACAAGTGATACTGAGTACTGAGCATAAGTGGTACATATCGTGAGTTCTGAATATGGGCTTGCAGTTATTTGAAGTTAAGTCAGGAGCCTTGTTTTGTGTTCTGAATTATCTATGGAGGAAATCTCAATACTAAAAAAATAATTTTAATGCTAGACGTTTAATTGTTGAAGCTGTTGCTACTGCCTGCTTGGCCTGCTGCACAAGAACGTGATGATAATTTTGTTTTTGTTTTGTTTTGTCCGATGGTCTTTGGATTGTTGCGTACAAGTTTCCATGAGAGCAGGGATTGTTTCTGTGTAAGCAATGTGCTGATATGCAGCTGAAGACTGTGGCTTATGAATAGTTCAGCTACGTCATGTGCAAATTGCATTTGTCATCACGTGCAGCAAGCATGTCATAGGAACTCCTGATCCCTCCAGCATTGAGAGGAAAAAAGCAGAGTTTGCTGAGGCTTACCTGCATTCCCAAGCATATCACATAGGTGAGAGGCATCTTCTCTGCAGACCTGCAGCAAGTTACTTGTGCACTCCGTTCCTCTGTCAAACATAGATGGTCTTCATGTTGTAGCCTTAGGAAGGGCATTGTGTGCAGCTCATTAGCATCTTCTGGCCCAAAATAACCGGATTCTTGTCCTACGAATAATACCACTGTTTTTCTAAGAATAGCAAAGCAGGGGAGGTTGCTCAGTAAGGTTGTGCCATTTCTGTTCTTAATGCTTTTAAGGGCACGTTAAGCAAAGATCTATCAGTCATGAATTGGAAGTAAGTGAATACATTATGGCTAACACAGTGAGATCTTTACTAACTATGCCCGTTACTGCCCGTTATGCAGTATTTACGTTGCTTTGTTATTTATCAAGAAAGGTATTTCACAAAGAACAAAATGAGACCTTTACTCTGAAAAGTCTAGAGTACAGTTTACCTGGAAATAGTGTAACAAGGAAGCCCAAGCTCTGTGTCAGAAAGAGTCTTGAAAGATAGATCCAGCATAAGGAGTGCCATTTTGATCTCAGTATATTTTAAAGGGAAAATTTGACGATGTTATTTTCATTATAGCTGGTGTACGACTTCAGCAGAGAAGCATAGGGAGATGATGAGAAATCTGTGAGAGAGAGCAGTGGTGAAAGTTGTGATGCTGTACTGATGCTGCGGGGATCTTGTGTTGTCCTCCAATGACATGAAACATAAGCTTGTATTAGGCAGCTTGAAAGGATTGTTTTTACCTTTCAACTTTTTATGATGTCATTTTTCAGGAAGGAAAACTACTTTTCTAAAAAATGTATTTTTCTCTCTGGCATAGTGTGTAGAGGAAGGATGGATGTTTAGAGTTTTTTGCATTTAAGACAAGATTTTGTCAGATCTCACTCCTCAGGATTTTCTGCTGATTTACATCCTCTTTTTTCTCCCGTTCATCAC